CCACATCAGTGTACGGACCAACTGACTCATCAAGTAATGCCAAAAGGGCTTACGAGTTGCCCGTTGGCAACGGCCACCAAGACACATTAAGCAGCACAAGCCGAATGGTTTGTTGAGTGATATGATGTTGGCCTCGCCTTCCCTAATTAAACAACTATTACTCATTTCCATTCTGAGAAAATAAAGGACGAGTCAATTCCGTCTTTTGTAGCTGAGATCCCCTTCGCTCAAATAAACAAGTTCACTAGCTTGCTGAACTTCATAAACGAGTGGTCTAGGCAGCTGATTCATACTTAGTCAACTGCAGTGGACATTCACAGCGCACACCTGGCAATGAAGGTGGGTAAAGACGCGATCCACACAAACGCTGAAGTCTTTGATGCCTAGCTTGAGTCGTTGAAGAGGTCGTCGGATTGCCTGTTGGTACACCCCAGAGCTTCACAACAATGCTAGCAATATATGGCTCAAGCATCCTGGGCATTTATTTCTGCGGCTATACATAGGGGCTATACGGTTGAGGGGTGGTGTTCAGGTTACAGAAGTCCACGATAGCCGCAGTGCCACAAGTAGTTAAGCCGATAAAGATTTAAAGTTTGTCTCTGGGAAAAGCGAATCCTTGGGTAACATAATGTAACAATGAAGTATTCCCGGCGCTTTCACTACAATCGGATTTTGATTCCACTCGATGAACATGTGCGGCTGCGTGGATATCGCGTCCTCATTGAGCCAATTATTAATACGGGTTCAGGGCACTGTAAGCCGGATTTAGTTATGCCTAAAGAATAACGCTTCACTGTGATCGATGTGGCAATCGTTTTCGGAAAAAGGTTGAACTATCCATGGAAGGAAAAGGTTGCCAAGTATAACGTAGATTGTGCCAATGCTTCCGCACGAAAAATGATGGCGAATGGCCGATAGGTTGATAGGAATGTCCTGGCCCTCCACACGCCTCTGGTCATGTTGGGACGCAGGCACATGTTTACCAAGTCTGCATCGGAATTACGGCAATTAAGCTTGAGTTTCCAGGATAGTTATAGTTTGCGTCTTCTGATTATTCGGGGCGCCCTCGCAATACGTTGAAATCCACCATGAACTCGGAAATCTGAACTCGAATAAGGCTAGTGCGCCGGATGCTCTTACACCAGTTGCCTTGAGAGAGAGTGCCTATACCCTCACCATGCCCTTGACAGATATTTTCAATCTGTACCTACACGGTAGAATTATTTCCGACACTGTCATGATAACGCTCGCGCCGTCATGCTGAAAGTCTTCGAACAACTACTTGTGCCTTGGATTTGAAAAAGCGCTAAGGCCGTGGACGTATTCCACAGTTTGCGCACAGACCCAGACGCTCCACGTCGGATGCCGTAGCCATACCTTGTTCATTCCATAGCATCTTCATTGGATGCGAAATGCAACATCATGAGGCACCCTTTCCTTGATTACACCAACAATTTTGGAAGAGTCGACAGACCAATCAAGTGTAAGTAGCTGTCTGCGAATGGTGTTCAACTAGCAGTGTGCAACCTGGTGAGCAATTACTTCGTAAACCGTTCTCATTTTACCCAGCTAAAGGGTAAAGAATTCCACATTCTTAGTGATGGCTGGGGCGTCTTACAAGGTGCAATCCCTTCACCTCTTCTATTCTCTCAATACATTGAAATACATCCAAATTTACCAAAAGTTATTGGATGTAAGTAGGCTGATGGCGGAGTCCTAGGCAGAACTGCTACAAATGCTGTTTCATCAACGGATCTGCAAAGCGGGTTGGATAAGCATCAGCAGTGGTCGTCGTCCCGATCCCTCACTCTCAACGCTTCTAAATTCCGCGATGCAACTTCCTTTTTTCTCCGCACTGACAAACGTCTGACTGTGGCAAACACTTCTCGCCTCATGGTTGTAGGCGACCACAACGCACTCAGTTCATCCCCTGATAACTACCATGGTGTCTATTTATCCTGCAATCTAACTTGGTCAACACACGTTCACGAAATGTTCCGTAAGGTGCGAAAACTATCATTTTATGCCCTGAGACGCAAAATGCTTTCAGTACCCTACCATCTACCTGACAAATTCGCGACGGCCTGCATTCTTCCACTTTGGCTCTATTGTTCATTTATCGTTTCCTTGTATTCTACAAAGAGACATCACATTGATCGTGCGGTTAATTAAGCTCATTCTCAGGTGAAGCGGATTACCCATTTTCTGGTTGACTGTAACAGAGACGTAAGCGAAGCTGAACTTGGGAATCGTCTGCCTCATTGCGGTCGATCAGGCGATCGATCGAGTAGGCCAGTGAGTTCTTAAAAACTCAGCTAGTCGTACATCATCTCATATACTTGGGTAAAGAATGTTTGTGTGCAGAGCGACGTGAGTTTTTTCTCTGACGCGGCTAGGAGTGACAGAAGGCAAAGGTAAAGAAGCAGCCTTACAACAGTGGCCACAGGAGTCAGAAGAACCCCAAGAGGTCAGTCAGTTTTGAACAATTGCAGCAGTAGCAGCAACAACAACAGCAGCAGCAGCAGCAGTCACATTCCGAAAAGTCACAGAGGCAGTTGATCGAACTGGTATCACAAAAATTAAACATTAAAGTAGAATGGGAACCGTAACTGAAGCTGACATTGCAAGAAATTGTTTCAGAATGTCAGAGGTTGCTTAACTTGAATCCTGGTACAAATGTGGTCGCAAATTCGGACGCCAGGGAAGAGCAACACTTCTGCCACACTGCCACTTCAAAATGTACCTATCAGACTTGAGGATGCGACGGTAGAAATCAATGGCAGTCAGATTACGCAGATGAATAGATACCACAAAGAAATACTCCAACCTGGTCCAGAATGTTGCAGAATCACCGGTGCTGCCCCGAACCTCAAGTCAGTCACTAAATCAGTATCCAGAGCAAAGCGCCTTGTGTCAAACAGGAAAAAAGCATTGCAGTTATCATGCGAGGGAAAAGCGGACAGACAGCGCGCGTCATTGCAAAATTGGGAACATGGTGTACGCACGAGACTTCCGAGGAATGAGGAGGTGGTCGACAGGAAGAGTGATCCACAGAAACGGTTGGATCATCTACGTGCTAATGGTAGGAAAAAAGAAATGGGTCAGGCACACCAATCAGCTGAGGTCGAATCCCGGCAAGACTCAAAATCCCCCAGAACCGCCATCCGTACCATGGGACATCCTGCTAGAGACGTTTTGTTTGGAAGATGAAGCTGAGCGGCTACGTGGATCACAACATAAGATGCAAGCAGCAGATGACATACAATGCAGGCCGACCCGAAGGCGGAGACGACTACCATGGTTACAGGTCGATCCCGAAAGCGCAACACAGCCAGTCGCTCGGACGCCACACGACCTGTCATGCAGGCCAGGTCGAAGACGAAGGCAACCGCGATGGCTACAAGCGAACCCTAGGGTAAAAAGCTACGATCAAGTCCAAGTGTGGAAAATAGTCAGGAACAATCAATTTGAAGGAGGAGGTAACAGAGACGTAGGCGGAGCTGAATTTGGGAATCGTCTGCTTCAGTGCGGTCAATCAGGCGATCGATCGAGTAAGCCAGTGAGTTTTTAAAAATTCAGCTAGTTGTACGTAATCTCATGCATTTGCGAATAGAACGTTTGTGTGAAGAGCGGTGTGAGTATTGTTCTCTGACACTGTTGGGAGTGGCAGAGATAAAGAAAAGGCGTTACAACAGACTGCATCATTACTAAGCATGTTGGTGCACGCGACAATTTTTCAGCATGTTTTAAACGAGCCTTTTCACCCTTCATGTTGATTTCTCCAAAGCCCTCTCTTGCTCATCTGTCCGCTCTAAATTTATGGCCTTAGTTTCTTGCAAAACAAGTTATCATAACGCAATCTTACCGTATTTATCCCAATTTCTTGTGAACTCCAAGAATCTTGTCAGCATCACGCATGAGCGTCTACTTGAGTGATGTGCATGCATATAGTTTCCTTATTACGCTTTGATTGCAAGCTCATGCTAATGTTATGCACTACATCCACACTGCTAGTGTAAAAAGCTGAAAATGTTTTCAGTCGGGGTCATAAAGCATATAGTGATTTAACTTGAAACAATGGTGCTCATATGTCAGGATCTTAACCTCTGCCAAGCTCAGATTTATTTTGCAAAAGGCCTATGAAGTGGTGTATGAAAACTATCCCTCGGATGGACATTCACTGCCGATGAGCCGGCGGATGGAGCGCAATAGTGCAAGTGTGCTCTTACAGCAGGTTGCAGGATATAAAATGATCGTTTCTTCACTTGATCTATCATTGAACGTTTCCTTTTTCGACCGACCACCTTCATTCTCATGGCTTTCCCATCTTTTGAAAAAATAAAGAATCTTACTGCATAGCAAATGTTATGAAGCGTGCCCCACTAAAGAAACAAAATAGATTTACAACCAAAGTCCATCCTAAATTTAGTTGTGAGCGATGTTCCGATCACATGTGAAGTGCGCTAGCTGGATGGGCGCCCAGTATGATCCCTGCTTGTTTACACATGCTTTGTTTTATTGTTCGATGTACCTTCCAACACGTTTGCTGAAAATATGCATTTAAGATTAAATGGTGATTGGCCTCATCGAACTGCTTGTTGAGTTAAAATCGCCTCCGTCGACTCTGTCGTGTGCTCCATATGTTTGGTAATCGAGCACCACGTTGAGCACTATTTTTCAGAATGATGCCTATTTAGACGGAACCACGAGGTGACCAATGGAGAGCGTGACAAGATTCTATTACAGTCTGTTCATACGGTTACAGAAAAAAGGCCGATCAGTATGGTTAAGCACACAAAGGGAAATTCAGTTAAAACTTGAAATTAAAGGCGTCCTGGTGTCGATAAGCAGTGTGTTCCGAAATTGCGACTTTGTGACAGTAAGGTGTAGAGTCACGATGAAGGTTTGTGGGCACATGCATAAAAATTTGAAAAGCGAAGAGTGGCGTGAAAGACAATTCGTCGGGAGAAAGGAGTGATGAGAAGACACAGCTGACTTACATTCTGAACTGTCGGATCCATGATATGCTTCCAGCCAGGCCGTTAAACCAACGTAATCGGAATCGGGGAAAACAATTACAATATCCTTTGCCCAGTAAATTTGTCCTGAAAGAGTAACAAACTGAAAAATGTGTGGCAAGAACTTACGTCGAAAAAGTCCCATTAATGACAGCAGCAAACTCAAACTAGCCGATAAACAAGGTATGGTGGTGTCAGAGCACTCGGTTCTCAATGGAACAGTTATGAGGAGAGCCTCTGTGCGTCCTGCACTTGGAGACCTCATTATGGCATATAAATTTGTTCCGGTGACGTGCTCCAAAGGATATAGTAAGTCGTGTGAAAAGGTAAAATTTTGGTCATAGACCTCAAGTCCAATTCTCATCAGTTCTGATTTCAGCCAACCATGCAAAACGGACCTGTAAGTTGGATTATTGTTGAGGGATGCAGCGGCTTACAAATCATTTTTTGCGAAAACATGTTGCAACTCTTTCTCGTACCTTTGAATCAAACTGTTATCACTGAACTCCTCAGCTACTTGACCTGAAATAATAAGCAACCATAATACGTCGCGGCAAAACTTACCGACCAAAAGCGCATTTTCGCTTAAGTAGGTCCCGTGATTCAGTTCTTCTTGAGAAAGCAAGCAAAACCATAACAATCCAATAATGTACAAAATTAATCCGACGGCTGTCGAGTTCCTTGCTATCAACTTTTGAATCTTGATAAAATGTGCCATTGTGACAGTGGAGACTTAAATCAGATGACCTTATCACCCGAGAACAAGCATCATGCTGATGAAACAAAGAAAACAGATTGCACGATCAAAGGGGGAAAACTGTACGCAAAAGCCTCCAGGAAGCAACACACCGAAAAACAAAGAATATGAGAGTTTGAGTAAAAAACAGCTGGGGTTTGTGATGCTTCTTCATATTAATAACGTTAGTCCGCCGACTAAGTAAACCAACTCATAAATCCCCCCCTAACCCACTCCCTCACTCGTATGGCGTGGAAACAAGGCAAGCGGTGCAATGCTAAGTGCAAATAACCTCGTTGTAAAACTGTTAAAAACAAGTGCAACTTATGCTAAGTAGGATGAATGTAAATACATACAAATCTAGAGGGCCCAACTTAAAATATTACACTGATACATCCGGACGAATGCGGAAAATGAGTAGCGGCCGGGAAGCGACAGGTAGCCGAAGGGGAAGAATTCTGCAAGAAAGCAGTGAAGCGCAGTAGATAACCTGATCTGGATGCGCGTAGGCGAGAAGTGGTTCGACCACCCGACATTTAAACGATGGCCGATAGTGGTGAAAAAATCGAGGACCACAGACGCCGACTGCGCAGGGAAGCTTCAGTTGGTCATCCGCTTTAGGGTACTGACGCATGGTAGTCGGCAAGGTCGGAATACAGTCCCTAACTCTATATGAATCTATTAAATGTTTTAACGCTGCCAACCACAATTCACTGCTGCCTGTTCTACGAGGGTACCTTCAAACGTTCAAGGTTGACCGCAATACAATAGCTGAATGTGATCAGATGCATTTTGCTTTTGGATATCATCGACTATTACCCACAAAATTCTGTCGACAGTGTTAAGAGGGTTAGACTCGGATGGCATAATGCATCAGCAGTATGCTGGCATATCGCACAGACATGTTGTTGACATGCAATCACAAGTCCAGTACATTGAGGATGAATAAATGTGGTCCAGATAACAAAGGCGGTGGATTCAGTTGACACGACTCACATCGCAACAACAATAAATAACAGCAAGAAAAAAACGTGGAACCCAAAACAAAAGATCAAAAAAGCAACAGAAGTATATCGGACATTTGAACTGATGCTTCCCTATCAAACAACCGAGAGGGCATATGGCATGAAGAAAAATAAAAGGAAGATGCCAAAGCAAACATTCAGGGTCTAGGCGTCTAAACCGCGCGTAGAAAACATACGGTCACAAACAGCTGGCAATCGTGCATAGATAAGGTGGCATCGGCGAGACAACTACATTGCGGTTTTTAATGCCCCACGTCATAATCAGCCATTACCCCGCAGATAACTCAGTACCAAATACACTTTAGACAGGAAGTCCAACTAGGAGACGGCAACAGACGAGCCACTGGTGTCCACGGCGAGCCATGTCTTGTAAAGTCTCGAGCCAAGCACAAGGCCGGTCACGTGGACTCCAGCCCCGAAGGAGAGACGCACCTAGTTTGGTCGTCAGTGACTTCATTTCCCGCTGTCAAGTCAATTTTTGTCCGCCTCGAGTCTTGCGTTACCCTACACCTGGCAGACTAAACGAGGCCCTCCTAGGTAAGCGGTGACCAGGCATACGTAGCACGTGTCCGAGCCAACGCAACTTATTCAGTACTACCTGTTGTACTAGGGAGCTAGCATGTTTATCATAACCTAGTACGTGCCTAAGTACATCATCGTTGCGGACACACTGGTACCATCCGACACCAGCAATGCTTCGCAGACAACGATGATCAAAGACCAGAAGACGCGTCAGATCTGTAGACCGAAAGGGCCAAGTCTCACTACCATAGAGCAGAACGGCCCTCACTGTGACTTTGTATACACGGTCATGCATACGGAGGGAAACTCCCTTCAGACGCCAAAATTGCCGCAGGTTTAAGGAGGCAGTGCTGGCTTTTGCAATGCGTGAACTGACTTCAGTTTCTATGCACCAATCGTTGCAGATGCAGTTGCCAAGTTAAGTGAATCGATCAACCACCTCGAGTTTTTCATTATCAAGCGTCAACGGGTCATCAAGTGGCTGGTGGTCCTGTATCAACAATTTGCAATTTGAAGGTGCGAAGCGCATACCAACTAATGAGACCACTCCAGACAGGTTATTCAGAGTTGACCGGGCCGCCGCAACATCGTCGAAAAGCAAGACGATATCGTCCGCAGAATCAAGATCAACTAACCTTTCACCAGGTAAGAACTCAACGCCTACATCACGAGATTCCGCAAACGAATACACCATGATAAACGAAACTGAAAGACGGGAAAACTGCACAACCCTGACGAACGTCACTTGTGGTCGGAAAAGTATCCGATAGACCACCGTAGACCCTAACATGGCCTGTAGTGTTCGAGTATAAAGAATGTAAGATATTCGTGGAAACACCTTTCCGCGCAAGTATTTCGAACAGAATGCATCGATCGACTGAATCGAACGCACTCTTGAAATCAAGGAACACGGCTATCGTCGGTGTGCGGTATGCGTGGTGCTGGAAGTGGCTAGTAGCACTGTTGGAGCCAGTTAAAAGATCAATCGTTAAACATAGTCTAAGGGATACGTTTGAGTTAGTGGAACTTCTGGATGGTATTGAATTGCGAGGAAAATTCATGGCCGGCATCGATATCATCTCACTATTTACCAGTGTGCCACTAACAGAGACGATTCAGATTATTTGAAATCATGTGGTCGAGAATCCAGTAGAAATAGGCATACCAGTCTCGGAATTAGAACGACTTCTTCTGTTATGTACATCAAATGTCAAGTTCTATTTTCAAGAACAGGGCTATCGCCAAGTGGATGGTGTTGCAATGGGCGGTCCACTGGGACCGGTATTAGCAGACATTTTTGTCGCCCATCTCGAGAATCAGGTCAGAGACGAGATCAATGGAACAGTGTTGTTTCGTAGGTATGTTGACGACATTTTGTTAATCTGCGACAGCGAGTATCATTTAGCTCAACTGGTTACTAAGTTGAATGGCTTACACCCAAACATTAAAGTGAAAACGGAGCACGAACAGCATGATACGCTGCCGTTCTTGGATACCCTGATCGAGCGTAGAAGTGACGGTTCAGTACACAGATCAGTTTACCGCAAGCCAACGTGGAAGGGACAGTACTTGAACTTCTACAGTTTTGTCCCCAAGAGGTACAAACAAGGTCTAGTGAAGACTTTGTTCAGCAGAGCTAGAAAAATATGCACTGCTGACACGCTGGAACAAGAGGTGCGGCTGATAACCAGCACCCTCGTAGACAATGGATACCCTCCGTCTTTCATCGCTCAGTTTAGTGCTGAGAAAGAGAAAACGTGTGTGCCTACGGTACCAAGGTTGAAGGTAACCCTGCAATTGCCATTCAAGGGCGACGACGTATGCCAGGTTTTTCAACGCCGATTGAAATCCGCAGTGGCGCGCGTATACCCTGCGGCGGAACCAGTACTCATCTACACAACGAATCGTATCCCTACTCCATCGGTTAAACCCCCGCTGTCACTGTCCAGCCGTTCACATATCCTTTACCAATTTACATGTATTTGCAAGGCCGAATACGTGGGCATGACAGAACGACACTTGAGGGTGAGGATCACGGAGCACATACCTGCGTGGGTGAGTAAACACGTTTCGCAGATGACCACGTCCACCACCTTGAATGCGCAGCCAAGGAAGCGAAATGAAGTCCCATACAAACAACCAGCTTCATCAATCGCCCGCCACCTGCTGGCTGACAATCACTGTGTAGACCCCGTGCGGGCGTTCCGTGTTATCTATACATCAATGAACCCCCTAACTTTGCGATATGCTGAGGCCGTGGCTATCAAACAACTTGGCCCAACTCTGTGTGTGCAGAAAGACGCATTTGTGACCCTGGCCTTGCCGTGGTAGCAGGCCGGGCACAGATGACAAAGTGACATGAATGTAGGTGTGTATAGTTTGGTCAATTTGGCATTTTAACTGCGTTCCTTTCATGATGCTATAAATTCACACGTCTGTAGTACGCACTTGAAAATATGCAGAGAAATTATTCCGGAATTAAATCGTGCGGCACTCTTGTGTTAACTTTTCTGCTAAAAGTTTCCTCGGGAACTAATTGTTTCACTTGTCTATATGAAAAGGAATGTGGCCGTATTCTCAAGCGGACTTCGTGTATTAAGGTTGAGACATTTCATGTCTTGAGGGATCACTACGTAGAAGACTGAATGAAGATGAAGAACTCCATTGATGGGCTGCGAATCGGCCAAGCCAACAACGAAACGAATCTCCATATTCTGCATCTTCGCGTGGTTCAGAGGACTCCTAAGGCTCATCTTTGTTGCATCCGGGCTATCGGGGCAGTGATTGGATTGCGTATGATGTCCGTCCAGGTGCCTAGCCCGCTGACTAAACTGAAGGAGATTCGTCTCTTACTTTACAGTATCACCAACTTGACCTCATGGATTTTAATGTCATGACTGTCCCTGAATATTTTTGATTCTGTGATTCACCTTCGTCGTTCTCAATCTGATCGTCTTGGCCTCAGGTCTGGAGGTGGCATTATACTCTACTGCATATATATATATATATATATATATATATATTCAACACCTAACCAATTACAATATAATTGGCTGAGTGCCACACATAAGAGGACAAAATAGCGTGAACGTGAAAACAACTGTTAGTGGATGAGTCACACAGCAAGTGCGCCATTGCGTACGGTCCTTGGCCATATCCTTCATCGTTTGCAACTAGATGTGCTCGGGGTCCTTTGATCCCCAAGCCGGCAGTCGGAAACATCTGACAACAGTCATTTCCAACGTTTGCACCATAACGTTTTGGATCCAAGTTTTACATTGCCCTCCTTTTCGTCGCTTCCAAGGTACGCCTGTGCTCGCAAATGGGGCACGTTTTGGTAGCCGCTGGGTAGGCATGGGTAGCACATGCCCAAGGCAGCAAAGCCTCCGCAGTGGAATAATGCTATCAGTCGGTCGGCGGACTTCATTAGATCTGAAGACTCGCCGACGGACTTCCTCATTACTGATGTGATGCTGCCATCGAACACCAGC